TCAACATCTATCATCAGCTACAACACGGCCAGGGGCCGACTGTGGAATACAATTGCTCATATGTAAGTTCAGGCTGAAGCTGTTCCATTGAAGAAGGATGAGACTGTTCCTGTAAGATTTACAGCTTTGGAATCCATAGTGAGCAGTTCTACTCCGTCCTATAAGGTCACCATGAGCTGGAATTGACTGGATGGCACTGGGTATGTATGTGATGGTTGCTGTTAACTGCCATGGAATCAGGTCTGACTCATAGCGATACTGTACAGGGTGCCACACTATTATTATCCCTATTTGGATACACATACACAAGTCTGTACAAATATAATACCTTTCGATTTCTGATACATTATTTTTTAAAGACAGCTCTGACTTCATTGCACTTATACCTTTTTTGAATAAGCAATGGAATAATGAATTGGAGTAATTTATTTTGTATACTAGGTCAAACTAACTGTAAATTATTCTGAATTAGAAATTTGACAGTATCATGTATCTGAAACAGCAATAAATTGTACAACATAATTCTTAATAAAATTGTACACCGTAATTCTTAGTAAAACAATAATGAAATGCAAACAGAAAGCTTGCATTACACCAATGTTCAATGTAGCACTTTTCACAAAAGCCAAAATGTGCAAACAACCTAAACATTAAACAGATGAATTGATAAACAAATGTGATATATACATAAAATGAAAAATTACTCAGCCATAAAGAGAAATGAAGTCCTGATGCATGTTGCAACAAAGATAAATCTAGACATTATGGTGTATGAAATTAATCAGGGACAAAAGAACAAACACTATAATGATATTACTTATAAAGCAGCTATATAGAAAATGAAGACTGTTACTAGTGGTGGGAGGGAGGGAAGTTTTTGTTTAGGGAGCATTGAGTTTCTATTAATAGTGGTAGAAAGAATTTGGAAAAGGCTAGTAACAATGGTTGCATATGAAAAAAGGTAATCAATGTTAATAGATTTTTACATGTGAAATTTGTTCAATCAGCAAATTTTCTGGTATTTTTACCACTCACATACACACACAAACCATTATTGTGTGGTATTATTTAAAGATTGAAATATAGCATATGATTTAATACATCAATTACCAAGTGATTATTTCAGTCATGAAAGAATATTACTTTTACTTTCATAATACAAAGGTAAAATTTTAGAAATGAGAAAAGTCAGATTAAATTCTTAAATACATATGCATTCTACATCTTTTTCATAATGTAATAGAAGATGTCCAAGAAAAGTTGCAACAGGATAGCCTCAAGAGTTCTGAATTACTCAAAATATCTCGGGTTTCTTTCATTCACATCGTCTTTCTTACCTTCCTTGTAATCTCTTTTAAGTCTCTTGGATTCTCTGATAATACACTCTTTTTCTATCGTGTATGAGGTGGCTTCCAAAAGTTTGAAAAAAATGGAATAAACATAATTAAATTTTCCATGAACCCCTCATATATGTCACAGGAATACTGGATAGAGGTAGGATCTGCAGCTAATCTTTGAGAAATATTATATTATTAAAGACAAATGAAAACTTGAATGCTTATTTCACCAGAGTAAAAACTACTATCATAGAAAAGGACAGCAATTTATTAATGGAAAAATGTAATTTTGTCATCACTACTTTTATGTGGTACAAGTTTCTCTAGAAGTAAGGACAAGAAGGGAAAAGGAAAAAGGAGAGAAATTTTAAACAATTGCAGACTATGTATATCCAAGCAAGGATGATGGTTTTTACCTTATAGTGTTGTTTTGAAGATTGGATGGTATATATCAAGTATTTAATACAGTGCTGCTACTATTATTATTACTGTATGAATCACTACTACATGGTACCTGTTTACAAGTAGTTGATATGTGTGGCACTGTGGGCTATGTGTCAGACTACAAAGTCGTTTGAACTGCAAGGTTGGTGGTTCTAGCTTACAAACTGCTCCTTGGAAACCCTATACAGGATCGCTATGGGTGGGAATCGACTCAACAGCACTTAACAATAACAATAAATGTATATTAACATTAATGGATAAAAAAGGAAGGTGAAATTTCCAGCTAAACATCAAGAGCAGGAATGACAGATAGATTAAATGAAACTCTGAATACAGAACATAATCTGGCACATAAGTGCTCAATAAATGCTGTAATTATAAGCTTGGAAATAAAGAGGTAAACAGCAGAGAAATAATGAAAAGTTGAAAGTGATTGCCTCAGGGGAGCAGGATTGAGAGGTAAGGAGGATGGAGCAGAGGTCCATCCTCATGCTTTTCTTCATGATACCTTAAAGCAGCATTGTCCAATAGAATTATAAGGCAAGCTACTTAAGTGACATATTTTTACACTGAAAAAAGTAAAAATACAAAAACAAAACCCACAGTCAGGTGAAATTAATTTAATAATGTTTTATTTAATCCCATGTATCCAAAATATCATCACTTAAAACAAGTAATAGAAACAAATTATTAATGAGATACTTTACATTCTTTTGTTTTGTACTAAGTATTTGAAGTCCCATGTGCATTTTTACATCTATAGCACACCTTAATTCAGACTATCCACATTTCAAGTGCTCAATAGCCACAGGTAGCTTTGTGGCTTTCATACTGGAGAGTGCAGCCTTATGGTAATATTTGATTTTACAAAACAATACATATCATCCATGGCTGCCAAATCACAGAGACACGAGGCATTACGTGCCTCCTCATGAAAGACTACACCACTATTTATTACAGTAGTCTGACAAAAAGCCACCCCCAAAACCCTTAATCTGATCAAGTCTCTAGATTCAATTATAATTTACAGAAAATAGAAAAAGGTACACGTTAATACCTCAAGAATGCAATTAGCAAAATTTGATGATAGGAACCTCTTAATAGATAACCAAGTCAATTTCTTCCTAAATACATTGCAACAGGAATTAAAAAAAAAACAAAGGAAAAATCCATCTACTGAAAATATTTAAATAATATACCAATTAATTGCAACATGTGGCCCTCATTTAGACTCCCAACTGAAACTACTTAACAAAGTTTTATGGAATTGATAGAAAATCTGAAACTTTGAACACTGAATATTTGATATTAGGAAATCATTTTTACTAATTGTTTCAAGGTATAATAAAGTTTTTATTGTTTTTAAGAGCTATTGTGTTTTTAGGGCAACGTACTGAAATATTTATGGATGAAATGATGTCTAGGATCTACTTTAAGAGAATATGCAAGTAGAAAAAAAAAAGAATATGCAGATAGGATAAGTTGGTTGGGAGTTAGATGAAAAGACTGGCAATGTTGAATTAATTGACAATGAACTGATCATTATTGAAGCTGATACAGTACACGGAGACTCACTCAATTATTTTATCTACACTTGAATGTATTTAAATTTTCCACAATAAAAAGTTGGAAAGAAAACTACCAGGCACATGTATTAATTTTTTAAAACACAAAAAGTTTAAAAAAAATATAGGTAAACTGAAAGGAAAAATTAGCGTTGTCAATGATTGTGATATATGATCACTTTGTACTTCTAACTCATATCCAATCTTAATTCCTTCAGACCTGAGGAGAGCATTTCCCCCCTCCCTTTCTTATCCTGCTATAATCTCCCCCACTGCCATGAGTCAATTCAGATTCATAGCAACCCTATAGGACAAAGCAGACCTGCCCTATAGAGATTCCAACTATGTAATTTTAAAAGATGCAAACTGCCACGTCTTTGTCCTGCAGAACAGTTGGTCGGTTTGGTTTGAACTGCCAAGTTTTGGTTAGCAGCTGAATGTTTAAGCAATGCACCAGCAGGGCTCCTTGACAGACTATATTGAAGGCTTTAATTTAATACGTATCTAAAGGAAGGACTCTCAGAAAACAACCTAAGGCAGATCCAAAAGATAATCCAAGACACTAGTCAATATAGTTGGAGAACTTACTTTTATTCTTGGAGTTATATATTAGGAAGTCAACATCTAATAATCCATTTTCCACAACTGACTTATAAAAAATTTTAATCCTTGAAATTGTACATCAACATCCTATGACTCCAAATCTTAGTTATCCCTCTCCTTCAATTCTGAAGAAAAGTCCTACAGACAGCACCATTCCACTGACATAGATAGCAGTTAGCATGATTTCCAATACTCATATCAAAAGTAAGACTAGCCAGTATCAAACTGGCCTGAAACCTGATTGTGTTCCTGCCTCAGGATACCTGTAGTAAATTTGTAAATCCACACTAAAACACACAAAAAAACTAGGTGTATGTATGTCTCATAAATTTTTTTTCACAGTAAAGTTTTATCCAATTACATTTTAAACGACTGATTATATGTGAATCAAATAACTTCATGTAGGATCTTTTATTATTATTTTTTTAAGTTTGCCCAGCATTTCAGAATGGTTATAGACTATAACTTTTAAAATGTCAAAGTATGCTATCTATACATATTGCACTTTTCTGCTAGGCTGGGCTAGTATCTTCCCTGGCAAGATACCAAAACTACTGAATAAAATACCCTTTTAAATCAATAGGTACTTGATTAATTTCCCTGAAATTATCAACATCGTTACCAAAATCTTCCAGGATTTTGTAAGATTTGATTCCTAAAATATAGCTTTAAAAGTTTAACTAAGGAGGAACACAGCCCTCATATGTTTGACCTTGTTTTGGTCCATCAATGACCAAGAGAATTTCAAGAAAATTATACTTCATATGTTTCCTGACTTAACAAAAAGCTAAAAGTCCAAATAAAAAAAAATTATATTAATTATTCAAATTAAAAATTATACTAATCAAAATCTATAAATCTTGATATGTCTATGTATGTCTCTGTCTGTAGGTCCCTTAGAACCTTTCCAAAGTTTTATAATCAAGAGGTTTTAATTAATTATGTACTAGACTCAAACCAGGTAAGGAAAATAATTTTGCAAAAATAAAATCACTTCCCAGTGTGCTTGACAGAAACAAGCTATTCATTTTCATTTGTGTTCCACTGAAGACATTACTGAAATCTGTCCAATGGTCTATTTCCAAGTGGTCCATTATGGAATTCTTCGGAATGTTTTAAGATTGGCTGTAGCTAGAGTTCTGACTTCCATTTGGACCCTGCTCTCCTTCACTGTTAAAGTGGGGAAGAAAGAGATTTTGTACCAATTAAAAGATTCAATTTCAGCAGCCTGACAAACCTACTAAAGATACACAGTCAGTGACAATTCTATAAAACAAAAACATTCTTGACTGTAAGACACAAAGGTGGAAAAATTAAAATCCAGAAGAGTACCATTTGGTTTTATGTTTTTATTTTTATGCAGCTTTGTGCCTTCACACATAACAAGTATTCTTGAAGTTAGTGTTCATGTACACTCAAAAAATTTAAAGTAGGCCATGGGAATTCATTGCCATTACAGGTACCACTCAACATACAGATTAGTACTTCTTCTCAAGAAATTTCCTATAAAATTAAATTCTACACGTAAAATTCTATTCCTATTGACTAATTATAAAACTCAAAAAGTATTCTTCCAGAAAAATTACTGTCCAGAGGCACAATAAAATCACGTAAACACAGCAAACTTTACAAGTCAGAAATAAATATTCCAAGTAATTTCCTGGGAAATATTGAATATGTAAAATAAAAATAACTAAAATTGAGAATACCAATAACTGTGGCAATAGGATTATTGTCTTATCCTGTCCATCATCATCTTGCAGTTTCAGGCCCTGCCACTAGTGGAGAATCACTCAGGGAATTTCTGCAAAAAATGCATTCAAAGGTAGCTGTTTGAATGACTGCCTTAAACAGCTCCTTGTACAAGTTAATAATTTTTTCAAAAATTTAACATTATCAATAACAATTTACAAATCTATCTTAATGTTATATAATGTAGGCATATGGCTATTTTTCTCGATAAATACTTAAGCTGGGTAGCATTTCGTTACTTCCCTTCTATAGCTTGACTTTCCCTCCATTGTGTTAATTTCTTAAGTAAAGGCCTGTAGAGAACCCTTTAACAGCTGGGCTCCATGAACTTTTAAGAAATTAAGGTCTTTATTAAGAACTTCAGCATGTTTCTGAATTTGCAGAACAATTTGGGAAAAAACAGGACTGACAGTTTTCGATATTCAAATTAGTAATCCTTGATAACAGTTGTATAAATATAAATTTTAAGCCTTTGTATTATTTTTCTGTAGGTATTCATTACATATGCCCCCCAGATGACATTAAGTATAAGCAAGATCAAGGCAGTCACATTTTCATGGAAATGTAGCAGAGCCCTTGATATTTCTAATATACCTGTGGAAAGCTTCATGAATACATACATGTGATAAGATTTATAAATACACCCATGTATTCATCTATAAAATACAGAATATAATTAAAAGTTTTAGATAATACCTTTAACCTTTAATGACCCAAATGATTTTAAATTAAAAGTCATTTATAATTATATTCAAAGGAATCTGGCCACTAAAACAAACTATATTATATTTTATCATCACAGTATAACTTGCAAGTCACCTAAACTCTAAAACTGAAGTTGTTAAAAAAACAACAACCCAAAAAACAAAATCAAAGATAATGTCTGAAGCTATATAGTAAATGCCAAATATGGATGAAGATTATGACATGTATTCTATTGCAAGATAATGTTAAATTATAGCCAGTACGCTAAGTACTTGGTAAAAGAACTTGGTAAACTAGATAGCAGATAGATGAAGAGCAGATTTCTTAAAGGACCTTAAGACTCACATACTGAAAATATTTCTGAATTTATGAACATTTCATTTAGGTTTTTATAATGTTATTTTCACACGCAATTTTTCATTAAACCAATCCTTAATAGTCTTTCTTAGTGCCCCTTCATGCCCTACTATGAATTATACCAATAATCATCTTCAGCCTTGTCCATGAAATCTTTAACAATAGTTGGTATGTAAAATGTACATTAAAACTTTATCTGTGGATTAAAAGCCCTTGAAATCATTCACTGCATTTTCTGAGAACTTTCTTACCATTTACTTAGATGGAAAATTTCTTATCATTTACTTAGATGGAAAGCAATATTAAATTTTCAATATTGACCAAAGTCAAAATCAAGATCTTAATCCATTACATTATTAGTGGACGTGGGGCACATGACATATACATATATACATATTGTACTTTATACACTATGGTTTTTGTCAGAGTTTAGTATAAAACCATTCATCAACGAGCTTCTTCATTTATAGAATCATCAACTTCCTAACGAAGTGAACGGCTGACGCTACCTCTCCTATTTTCACAGCATGCACAGAAAAATATCATCTAATTCTTGAACTAATTTTTCAAGGGTTCAACTTTGCAATTTGTTACTTCATGAAAATGTTTGTTCAAGTTCCTGGTTCTTTTTAACAGGTATCACATAGTTCCAATCAGCTCAATTATCTAAAATTTTGAAAACTGAATGAAATTTATAAAAACAGGATAATAGGCAGTAGCAGAAAAGAAAATGGCATAGAGTCAAACTGATAAAAATTATTTCTTTTAAAATATGCCCACCTATGTTTATTATACCATTATTCACAATACTTCATTAATTCTTTCCCCCTGAATATCAAAAACATGCCTAATAATTGTTCTGCTTAAATTTTACACACTATTGTTGTCATATGTTGAGGGATACCTGTAATAGACCTGCTATTATGTCATTAAGAAAATTTACTAAATAGATGATCATGTACATTCTTAATGAAATACTCTCAACTTATCAAGTCACAAATAAACAAAAAAATACAACTTGCATGTATTATGAAGTTCTGGAAGAAATTTTAAGGAAAAGATACAGCACAACATCATCTAAGAAAAAAATAGAATAATATACAATGAAATACATAATTAGAGGAAATCAATCAGCAAAGTCAACAAAGTACCTGTTTGGAGGTGGTTTTGGTTTGGGCATCTTACTGAGGATACTTGCCATCTCTTTTCTCTCATCAAAATTCTTCCACTGCTCATATAGTTTTAAAATAACCCTGATTATTTCCAAAATCTAGGTGGAAATATTTGAAAAGTCTTCAGTAGCAATAATAATGAACATGTAGTGTATAAAGAACACATAGCGCATATTAACCATTCCTCAGGAAACAGCAAAAAAATGGATGGAACCTCTGGTCTTTAAGTACTCAAGTTAGATTAGAAAATCCTAATTAATTTGAAAGCAGTATTTCCACTATACTGCTGTTTAAGCCCTTTCATCCTGGTCTCTTAGCTTTTAACACATAAGCCCTGTCCATCCCCCCATCCATCTCTACAGTTGGTTTCCTTTAATCTACCTAAACAAAATGACTGTATCTCAAAAACCATTCTGACCATATTACAGAAAACCACCACCACTTGTCTGTCAGGAAACTAATGTGATACTAGGAATAGAGGTCCTACTCAAGGAGTATGCCACTATAGAGGACATGCCTCTCATTCCAACTGTTTCAAATAATTCAATGGGAGGGACTGCACAAGACATAGTTAACTATTACACATGAGTTAAAGTGCTCAAAAACTGGCAGCTATAAATAGATTACATAAAGTTTCCAAATGACTCTTTTATCTCTACTTGAATATCGTTTACCTTGGACTAGTTCTAATGTCATTAAGATTTCAGCAGAAAAGGTGAAAAAAAAAAAAAAAAGGACAAAAACCACTTTACTAGGAGATAGGTTGTGCTACAGGGCCTGGGTAGTGTAGAGGATTATGAGTTGGGCTGCTGACCGCAAAGTCAGTAGTTAGAATCTACTAGGCTCTCCGAGAGAGAGACAGAGAGAGCTTTCTGCGCCTATAAAAATTTAAAGCCTCAGAAACCAAACACAGGATTGCTATGACTCTGAAATGACTTGATGGCACACAACCACCACTATCAGGTAGCTTTAGAGGTGCTTGTAGGATAAGCTAACCGCAAGGCTGACAGTTCAAACCCACTAGCTGCTCCGTGGAAACCCTATACAATGTTGCTATGAGTTGTAACTGGTGTGGCGGTACTTAAAAACAATGTTGTTGTTAAGTGCAGTGGAGCTGATTCCGACCCATAGCAACCCTGTGTAGGGTTTCTGAGGAGGAGCTGGTGAGCTTGAACCACTGACCTTGGAGTTTAAATGGCTTCGCAGTCAGGCGCATTAATCCACAATGCTACACCAGGACTCCTAACAACAGATAGCTTTATTTTAGGACATCATGCTTGGCAGAACAGAGGGTCATTGGAAAAGAGGAAGACCCTCATTGAGATGGACTGACACAGTGACTGCAACAATGGACTCAAACATGACAACAACTGCGAAGATGGTGCAGGTCCAGGCAGTGTTTCCTTTCATTCTACAGAGGGCTGCTATGAGTTGGAACCAATTTGGTTTACCAACAATGTAGCTTTAAAAACAATCCTGCAAGTTAAGAGACTATTTTGCAGCCAATCAAACCAAAGATTTACCATCCTCTTTAAGTAAACAAAAGCAATATATACTCAACATCAACTTTTCCTGTCAAGCACCTGTTTCTTAATATTTGTTAACCACGATCTCATTAGCCTGGTGCACATAATAAAAATTTTGGTCCATGATAATAAATATGATGTCAGTGGTAAAATGTTCAAGTCTATATTTAAAGAATACCTTCTCCATGTCAACAGAAAGCTCAGCAAACCACTGTCTGGCATCTTTCTGCTGCACAACACAGGCAACATGTAGGCAAGCTGTAAAGAAAATGATAAAAACTGTCGATGTTTAATTGCAAAAAAGGAATATATAGACTGAGAACTAAAATTAAGATCTTTATGTATAATTTTCACATTATTTTTCTAGTATTCTTAAAAAAAAAAAAAAAAA